CCAGAGACTTGAAATTTGGAACACATACTCCTGTATATCTCCGATTTATAAAGTATTAAAATTTTCCCGATCCGTCCACTAGGGGCGTGGCAAATCGAAATCATGTTAGTTAAAGAGCTAGAAAGCTGAAATTTGGTATGTAGGTCCGCGTTGACCACCCAAGATCACGAGCTATGGCGGATATATCTACGCCCATTGGGGGCGTGGCAAATCGGATAAAACTGTATCTCCTAAAGTTATAAACCTAGAATGCTGAAATTTTGCACGTCAGCTAATGGTATGATTCTATAAAGTCTAAAGATAAATTATAAGTCTACGCCCATTGGGGGCGTGGCAAATCGGACCTGAAGATATAGTGATTTTTTAAATTCTCCTATATTTTGGACACTATTGATGGCTGAGACCTCAAATTTTGTATACATACTCGGACTGATCACCCAAGACCAAAAAGTTTTGTCGGATATATGTCCGCCCACAGGGGGCGTGGCAAACCGCAAAAGTTTATATCTCCTAAAGTATAATAGCTAGAATCTTCAAATTTGGATAGTTAAGTTACTGGTAGCCTCCTCTATCGATTCCCTAATGTTTACGCCTCTTTAGGGGCGTGGCATATCGAAACATACCCTGTAATTTTCACATTTTTTGAGGGTAAGCATTCAAACTTTGCAGTTAGGGTACCGTTATCTCTTTCTAAAAACTGACCAAAAATGAGGTGTCTACGCCCAGTTGGGGCGTGGCAAATCGAAAAAAACCTGTATATTCTACAGTATTAGAGCGAAACTTAACTACTAAATTGTTGATGGGATGTGAATGAGTATTCCGCAGTCGGTAACGCCCGACTGCAACGTTCTTACTTGTTTTAAATGCTCCTGTTTTTAAATTGAAGCGTAATGTCGTCAACACCTGGGACGAGATGCGTACTGTATACCCTAAGCTATATGTTATAGCTTGTCGGTATTGTTTCTTAATAGGCACTTCGGTACCAGCGGAACGTTATTTTTCCAAGTCACAACTACTATTTCTTAACTCAATTTTAAATAAATAAACATTTATATTCTTTACTGTTCTCGTTGCTATTGTTGCTTCTAAAAGGAGTTCATAAAAAATAAATTAAGCGCATTCAAAAAAAAAAATTTGATTAATCGGTTTTTCCATTTTTCCGCGATTAATTGCAATTAATCTTTAAAGCACCTAAAATAAATCATATGATTAAATAATCGAGCAATGATTTTTATTTTGCCATCACTACTTTTATTCAACATTTGACCATCTCGGTCGCGCGCATGAAGCGGAATGATTGTGCTTTCGCATATTTTCGTAGCTCGGACCTAAAAGTGAAGAGCCGAGCAAATACGAAATTGATAGGCCTTAGGAGACAGATTTTTCGGTGTTGAAAAACTTTGTACTACATGTCTAGTCTATGTGTTCTCTGGTCAGTGATAACAGTCAAATATACAAGCATACAAAGGATGGTTCTTTTATACATATGTATGTATGTATATATCAGTGTTGCCAAATCAGCTTTTTTAAAAATCCAATTGCGGGAAAAATTCCAAAACAGCGGGCAGCGGGAATTCTGGATTTAAAAAAAAAATAATTTGCTTTTTATTCGCTTTTTATACCCTGAACCCATTGAAAATGGGAAATCAGGGCATAATGGTTTTGTTAAATAAATGCAGAAGGAGGCGTGGCAGACCCCATAAGTATATATATTCTTGATCAGGGCGACGAGCTCAGCTCTGTCCGTATGTTTGAACGCGTCAATCTCAGAAGATAGAGACTTGAAATATTTTTTCCTAAGTTCGTGTATAGCACGCGCATATAGAGTTTTGCTTTAAATATCGACAACTTGCCCCGTTATTTTGTTATCGATTAAAAACCTAATCGAAAGCTAGTTATTTAATTATATCTCCTACAACTTTAGAGCTAGAGTCTCCAAATTTTATATGTATACTTATATGTACTTTATACAATTTCGGTTTTTGTCAAAATTTACCCCCCTCCCCCCTAATTCACCCCCTCACCATCACATTTGTAAAAGGCGTCTTTAAAATACTAGGGACTTGTGCTTTGGCAAATATATCCCAGCAAGCATTTGGAAGACTGTTTTAACAGAAATCGTCTTGATGAGTCTTCTTTGAGTCCCCTTGACGATTAAAAAACGACTAATCTCCCGGGCGATCGAAAGAAGACTCATAAATGACCCATCCATATGCTCAAAGTATGATTACTTTAAAATACAAAAACGAAATGCAAAGCAATCGCCAAATGAGCATGCAGGTGATTAAAATATGATCATTGCTTGGTTTTGCTTTGTTCCTATGCAATCATATTCTGCTCGCTTGGCTGATCGAAAATCGATTCTTATCTAAGCTTATATCTAAGTTAAACGGTACTTTTTCTTAAGCACAAGCCGAAATGTGCAAATTTTGTCATTCGAGCGTGAAAGTGCAAGTGAAGTGCAAGTGCGAAGTGTATACAAATAAATTATATCAATTATATCAAATACAAATAAAAAGGTGATTATGTCAGTCAAACAATTACGTCGAGTGGCCAAAAGAGAAGCTTATAAACTATTATTTTGTTAGAGCTGCGATCAAAAAAGTTTTTTCGGACAAGGTAGCTTCCGAATACAGCTGGAAGGGGACGAAAATTAAACCATCAGCAGAAAGGTGTTACATTATAGCCGTAATAAAAAGTATGTATTATTTTGGAAAATATTTATAATATTATTTATTAATTAATATTTTCCCATTTAGATATTGCTAATGAAAAATTTACATGCACGGATAAGGATTTAAATACGGTGCTACAAAAGCATTTTGTCCATGCCAATGACAAACTGGCAAAGCGTAGGCGCTTAGAATAATATAAAACATACTTTCTATTTCTGTTACTATTTTTGTTATTTTTTGTTTTGAATTTCTATCTTTGTTTTGTATCAATTAACTTTTTTTTTGCTGTTATTTTTTAAGAAAATATATATATATTAAATTAAATTTATATCAAGAAAAAAATTCTTTTCATTGCAAATTATTGAAAATTTCAATCGAATATGAGTCAAAAAATGATTAAATTATGACTCGTGGAAGACTCTTATGATTAAAAGATGATTCGTGGAAGACACTTTTATGATTAAAAGATGACTCGTGGAAGACTCTTTTATGATTAAAAATAAGAGTCATAAGCGACTCATCAAGAAGAGTCGCGGGTAGGGTACCATTTTCTCCCGACAGAACAGTCTTTTATGATCAGAAAATAAGCGCACATATGACTGTTTTCAATCATCGCGCGAGTCTTTTAAGACTAACTTATGCTCTGTTAAACGCAAAAATGCTTGCTGGGATGTAAGGACTCTATAGACAGACAAATGAACACATACTCGTGTATATCTCCGATTCATAAAGTGTTAAAATTTTCCCGATACGCCCACTAGAGGCGTCGCAAATCGGAAAATGCACTTTCCGATATACCACAAAATCATAATAGTTGAAGCACTAGAAAGCTGAAATTTGGAATGTAGATCCGCGACGACCGGCCAAGATCATGAGCTATGGCGGATATATCTACGTCCATTAGGGGCGTGGCAAATCGGATGAAACTGTATCTCTAGGAGATTTTTAAAGCTAGACCTTCAAATTTTGCACGTGAGCTAATATTATGATTCTATAAAGATTAATGTCTACGCCCACTAGGAATCGGATTAAACTGTATCTCTAGGAGATTTATAAAGCTAGACCTTCAAATTTTGCATGTGAGCTAATATTATGATTCTATAAAGATTAATGTCTACGCCCACTAGGAATCGGATTAAACTGTATCTCTAGGAGATTTATAAAGCTAGACCTTCAAATTTTGCACGTGAGCTAATATAATTCTATAAAGATTAATGTCTACGCCCACTAGGGGCGTGGCAAATCGTACCTAATATATAGTGATTTTTCAAATTATGATATATTTTGAGCAGTATTGATGCTAGAGACCTGAAAATGATATAAATACTCGGGCTGACCACCCAAGACCAAAAAGCTAAGCGGATATATGTCCGCCCAAAGTTTATATATCCTAAAGTATAAAAACTAGAAGCTTCAAATTTGGATAGTTAGGTTACTAGTAACCTCCTCTATTGATTACTTGCTTTTTTTATTTATTATTTTCGATGAGGAATTTGGATAGATTGCATTTTTATATTTAAACAAGAGCCGTTTTTGTTATTTTTATACCCTGAGCCCATTGAAAATGGGAAATCAGGGTATAATAGATTTGTTGAAATATATGTAACAGAAATAAGGAGACCACTTTATATATTCTTGATCAGGGCGACGAGCTGAGTCGATTTGGCCCTGTCCCTCTGTCTGTTCTTCCGTCCGTCCGTCTGTCCGTATGTTTGAGCACGTCGGTTTCAGAAGATATAAGAGCTACAGACTTCAATTTTTTTTTTTCAAATGTCCGTATATATGGCGTGGATATCGAGTTTATCTCAAAAAATTGATAGCTGTACCCGTTATTTTTATCGATAATAAGCTATTTAATTATATCTCCAATCTTCCTCTCCCCCAATATTAATCGGTAACTGTTCCCGTTATGTTTATCGATAAGCTATTTAATTATATCTCCAATCTTCCTCTCCTCCCCAATATTAATCTGAATGATCTGATCTATATTTCGATTTTTTTTTAAATTTACCCCCCGCCCATATATCCACCCCCTCATCCACACCTTTGTAAAAAGCGTATTTCAAATATTAGAGAGTTGTGCTTTTGCACATACACGCACCTTTATGCTATAATCACGTCTAAAGTTTCATGAAGAAAGTACATCCACAAGGAAAGTTATCAAACAATTAAGTTCTTATCGTAAGCCAACATTGCAGCTCATGCGTGCGTGCCTATATGTGTTTGTGGGTGTATTTCAATTGGTCGAAGGGTTGAAGAATCTCGTAGTCGAGCAGTCTCGACTACAGCTTTCTTACTTGTTATATTTTGTTTTGTTTATTCGCATTGTTATCAACGTATATTATTTATTATTTTCAAGTATATTTGAGAAGCATACAAAAAACTGTTATGGTAAAACATTGCTGTACTCAACAGCTAATTTTTGAATGAAATACATAAACTGGTAGTTTTTTAAATCACCGAAAATTTAAATTATAGTTTTGTTTTACGGAATATGCAATTATGGAATGATTAGTTTAATGCTCTTCATTTTGTTGTTGGGATCTTTGCTGATGTTGTGTGGACATTCTGCAATTTGTCTTGAGGCTGCTGCTTTTGCACAAGTGAAGGTGTCTCACTATTGCTCTGTTGAAGCAGAGAAACTTGCTCAGGATGACCATTATGTTGTACGTGCCGATAAGTAGGCAGTGGCTGCTGCTGCTGGCTTGGTTGCTGATATATGAGCGGCTGCGGCTGTTGATGCTGATAAGCTGGAACGGGCTGCGACCCGCCATACTGTTGCTGTTGCTGTTGAGCGTATTGCTGCTGTTGATGATGATACTGTTGCTGCTGCTGCTCAAGTAATTGATTCGGTTGCTGATAATGCATTTGAGCACCTTGCGCAGGTGCTTGAAATGATGCTGGTGGGACTGCGTAGTAGCCTTGCGGCATGTTGGGATGTGGGGGTAGTTGGCCTTGAGCAATCATGTTTTGTACTTCTTCCTGGCGTCGTCGCTCAAACTCCAAGTACTCCTCATGTGTAAATTGAGGCTGTTGATCAATAGTCTTCCACTCAGGGTCTTTCTGAAACTCTTCCTTTGAGGTCTGTTGCATGAATTCATCCATACTGATAAGTCCGTCATGATTAGTGTCAGTTTCCTAATTATAGTTGAGTCGGAAATAAGTTAGACATTAATATTGGCGTTTTATTTTTATACCCTGAACCCATTTTCAATGGGAAATCAAGGTATAATGGTTTTGTTAAATGTATGTAACAGGCAGAAGAAGGCGTGGCAGACCCCACAAAGTATATATATTCTTGATCACGGCGACGAGCTGACACGATTTGAGCCCTGTCCGTCTGTCCGTATGTTTGAACGCGTCGATCTCAGAAGATATAAGAGTTAGAGACTTGAAATTTCTTTTCCTAGGTCCGTGTATAGCACGCGCATATCGAGTTTTGCTTTAAATATCGAAAACTTGCCCCGTACACTGCAGCCCATACGTGTTTAGGCGTGGCTCCTTGTGTGTGCGTATGTGTGTGTGTGTGTATGCGTGTGTGTGTTCGTGTTTCTTGTCTAAGCAGAAAAACGCGAAATATGATTGAAATACCTATTGCTCGAAAAGTTCAGGGGATCTCGTAGTCGAGCAATCTCGACTAGAGCTTTCTTACTTGCTTAAAACTGAATGTAGAAACATACCTGAAAGTAATGCTCTCGCATGCGTTCCATTTCTTCAGCGCGCTCGCGCATGTCATCTTCGGGTAAATTACTTTGGTATACTTTGTCCAGTTCCTTGACGAAGAGTGCCTTTACTTCAGCTTCGTCCCAAAATCCATTGCTGTCAATGTCATGAATGGAAAAGAAGGTTTTTGGATTGAAATCGTCCTTATCCATGTGATCCTGCTTCTCCCAGACTTCCTCTAATTGCGCTTTGTTACCTGGATGATGGACTTTCTCGTGCTGCTTATGTTTTTGTTCCTTTTCTTTTATTTCTGCATCGAATTTTTTTCGAGACTCTTCATCCATTACTTTTTTTTGCGCTTCCCGCTCAAATTCCTTTTGCATTTCGTACTCCTTGAACTCACCACGTCGTTTACGATCGGCCTCAGCCAAATCGTCAGAGGTTTTCTGAATCAGTTTACGCAAATCTTCGATTTCGAAAGTATGTTCATTGCCGTGATCCAAATGTTGTGGTACTTTTAAATGGTTGCGATCAATGTCATTACTAAGCTCGAATTCTCTATTGGCCAGTTCACGCAAACGCTCCAACTCACGACGTTTTATTTCATCCAGTTTTGTTCGCACATGATGATTTACATAATCAAGCTCTTGTGCAATTTTCCCACTCTAAATGGTTCATATGATTATTGGGGTACACACTAGACAGAATATATGAGCATTTTCCAAAAGTTTACTTTTTGTAGTGAGCGAACTCCTTGCTTTTTATACTCATTAACGAAAGTGAAATGAGTTTATTGGTTTTGTGCAATGTCCGTCTTGCTGTCCGTCCGTACGTATGAATGCAGTTTATTTCGGCGCTATTGAAGCTATAGACATGAAGTGTGGAACACATACTCGAGTAGATCTCCGAATTAAAAAGTGTTAAAATTTTCCCGATCCGCCCACTAAGGGCGTGGCAAATCGGAAAATGCATTTTCCGATATACCACAAATGATACTACAGTGCTTATCATGATTATAGCCCACCCTGCAACTTAAACTTTGAGCCCGTTGTAACAATATTTTTAAGGTTTTTCAAAAATAAATTTTACAGTACTTTATAGACTGGAGCATGTTTAGTAGATTTTATCAAAATTTTTGTTCAATTTATGGAAAACTAAGAAAGAACCGTTAACTTTTGCTATGTACTAGCATTTTTGCTAGTACTGCTAAGTGCGAAACAGACTTTTGGATTTACAGACATTGTAATTAGGTAAATTTAGATAGTTTTTAAGAGATGCCGCTGGGAAAACAATTATCTTATTATGAAAAGGGCCGTATTTTCTCACTTTTCGAGTCAGGAGAGTCTATTTCGAGTATTTTACGAATTTTGAAAAGAAGTTAAAGTGTAATTAAAATTTTTTTGGATAGCCCAGAAGAATAAGGATCAAGAACACGTACTGGTCGAAAACCGTTACTAATTGCTCACGATAAACGCAAAATTATTAAGAAAGCCAGCAACAGCGCAACCGCTTGTACAGCTTTGGCCTCACATGTGGGCGAATCTAAGTCAGCGATGACTGTTTGGCGAGTACTTAAGAGCTCAGGAATCATAAAGAGATCTAAACTGACCAAACCACCCAAGTTGCTAGGTCGCCACAAGGTTGCTCGACTTGATTTTGCCGAAAGACATACTGCGACCTTTACCTTTACCCTTACAGGTCATATTTTTTGATGGGAAGAAGCTTAACTTGGATGGTCCTGATGGGCTTGATTCTTATTAGCATGATTTGGCAAAGGATCCTATGTTTTTTTCAAGGACAGACTTTGGAGGTGGCTCAGTCATGATTTGGGGTACATTTTTTTCATTTGGTACCTGGGAATTGAAGTTTGTAACGAGCCGAATGAACATTGAAGAGTATATTCAGACTCTGGATAGTAGTCTCATTCCATATTTAAGGGAATTATGTAAGAAACCAATGGTTTTCCTACAGGTTAATGCCAGAATCCATGTGTGCAGACGTACAAAAGAGTGTTTGGAGGAATGTCATGTTGATGTCCTTGACTGGCCAGCATGTTTTTCGGATCTCAACCCGATAAAAATGTCTGGGGTAATCTTGCAATACGTGTGTGTATGCCAAAAATCGCCAGTTGGAAACAGTTGGATATCTTAAAACGCAAATTCTAAATGAATGACAAAGTTTCGAAAAGGACCTTTTATTAAATTTAGTGGTTTCAATTAGGAAGAGAATTTTTGAGTTAACTAAGGCAAATGGAGGCCGGACTAAGTATTAACATTAGTTTTTCCATCAATCCGCAACGAATTCGGATTTTTTTTACAAAAATATGAATATGGGCTATAGTTTTGATACAGAAAATGGTGCTGTTTTTCTTTGTTTTTTACTTCTTTTTAAGAAATCATTATTAAATCGTGAATTTTAAGTGAAAAAGTTTTTTGCCATTCATAATTGAAATATTGAACTACTCATTTTTGAAGATTTTGAGGAAATATGCCATTTGGGAAAAGTTTTCAGCTGATTCGTTTCAGTGGATTAAAAGTGGGCTATAATTATGATAAGCACTGTAGTTGAAGAGCTAGAAAGCTGAAATTTTGAATGTAGATCCGCGACGTGGGCGTGGCAAAAGTTCATATCTCAGAAACTATAAAAATTTTGATAGTTAAGTTATTAGCAGAGCTCGCAAATGAGAGTTGATCGTTTTTTCGTTTATGCTCTGCTTCGCATCATAACGACGCTTTTTGTTATACCCTGCACCCATTTTCAATGGGAAATCAGGGTATAATGGTTTTGTTGAAATGTATGTAACAGGCAGAAGGAGGCGTGGCAGACCCCACAAAGTCGAGTCGATTTGGCCCTGTCCGTCTGTCTGCCCGTCCGTCTGTCCGTATGTATGAACGCGTCGATTTCAGAAGATATAAGAGCTAGAGACTTCAATTTTTTTTTTTAAATGTCCGTAATTACAGCGCGGATATCAAGTTTATCATTAAAAATCGATAGCTCATCATCCTTTTGTAAAAAGCGTATTTCAAATACTAGAGACTTGTGCTTTGGCAATTACATGCATATTCACGTTTTAATCATAATCATGAAGATCGTACGTTCACAAAAAAAGTTATTAATCAATTAAGTTCTCATAGTAAGCGCTCACTGCCGCCCATGCGTGTTTATGTTTGTTTGTGTATGTGTATGTAAATGTTTGTGTGTGTGTGTGTGTGTATATATATGTGTGTGTATGTATGCCTGTGTGTGCGTGTGTGTGTGTGCGTGTTTCTTGTGTAAGCTGAAAGTCGCGAAAAATTATTGAAATAGCTATTACTTCAAGGGATCAGGGGATCTCGTAGTCGAGCAGTCTCGACTAGAGCTTTCTTACTTGTTTTCTTTAGAATCTGTTTCGGGCAGACGCAATGCAATGATTCATTCGTGTGACGCTCTCACATGAGTGTCGCGCAAACAGTAATACGGTTTTCGCTCACACAAAGACTCTCAGCAAAAAACAGTTTGACTAAAAAACTCAACAGAAATTGTCTTTGCCTTCGTGTGCATGTAAGTACATGCATACATACATACAAAAAGAACGCAACAATCGCGCGTGATTACCCATACAAACGCAACTGACAGTTTGCTTCATTTAACTCAAGCAAACGATCAGTGTTTGACTTGAGGAAACGAAAACAGAAATAACTGTCTTCCTCAGAGCGCGAGCGAGCTAAGCCAGACGCGACAAAAACAGTTTCTGTCTGAGTTTTTTTGATTGTGTCAGTGAAAGACACTTATTTGCAGACAACGAAAAAGTGTTAACAGTTATTTTCGAGCTATGGTTATTAGTAACCTCCGCTGTCGATGAACCAAAAATAATTGTTACGACTTTTTAGGGGCGTGGCATATCGAAAAATACCCTGTAATTATCACATTTTTAGAGAGTAAGCAGCGTAAGTTTTGCAGTTAGGTTACCGTTAGCTAGTTCTATGAACTGACCAAAAATAAGGTGTCTACGCCCAGTAGGGGCGTTTTTCTACAATATCAGAGCTAAACTTAACGTACTAAATTGGTGATGGGATGTGAATGAGTATTCCGTCGGTAACGTTCGACTGCAACGTTCTTACTTGTTATTATTGTACTAATCAAAAGAATTAACTATTTGTAAAATTAAAGAGTTTTTAGCACTATAATTGGTGCGTTTTTAAAATACAATGGGCAATTCTATAGTGGACAATGTGACAATCGTACGTATTTGAATTTAAAAAAAAACAAGTAAGAAAACTCGCTTCGAGAGTGCTCGACTAGATACTACCCTGAACCAAACTAATAAAAACGCACATTTAGTATTAAAATTTCAATTTCGGTGTATTTAAAAATATAAATTAAATAGAAAACTCATTTATGAAAATATAAAAATATTTTGAAACAATTAAACAAATTAACATCAGTTTCACCGATCGGTATTCGAACCGCGACTTCGAGCGTCATACCGCTAACACACTACGCCACCTCACTTCTAAAAGCTGCACTGGCAAAACTCAAATGGATTCACTGCTGCTGCGTCATCTACCAAAACTAAACCAAACTAACAGCTGATGTGATTCAAAGAATGTTCCAGAAGAAGTTTGAATGTATGTGTGCACACGTATACGATGCTGTTGTAGCTGCTGCACGTGCGTTTGTTAATTGGCCAAATATTTGATGATTTTTAATTAATTTTTGACTGAATGGAATTTAATAAAACTTTCAGCATATGATCTACATATTATCTATATATATATATATTATATATTATATATTATTATTTTTATGTATATAAAAGAGAGTTGTGTAAAAGCGCTCCTCCACTTATAACTCGAGATCGGCTGGACCAATTTTCATGGTTTTTGATTTGTTGGATTTATCTCCGCTACGAGTAGGATAGTAGATCTTAAAAATACTGAAAAAAGAGAAATCGCCCGAGAAAGGCGCCGCGTTGTGGCGATATGTAACCAAACTGCAACTGTCTGTAAATATGAGAGTTGCATTGTTGAACGATCTATCTGCTGATGATTTCTCGAAGCAATTGCTGAATATCGGTAATGGCCGTATTCCTGTTGACGAATCGAGTGGCTTGATTTCATTTCCTCAAAATTTTTGCAATTTCGTCTCATCAAAAGATGAGCTTATCAATAAAGTATTTCCGAATATCATTGCTTTCCACAAAAATACTAAATGGTTAAGTGAGCGAGCAATTTTGGCGGCTAAAAATAAAGATGTGGATGACCTTAATTTTATAATTCAAAATAAAATCATTGGTACTCTGTATTCATTCAAATCTATCGACTGTGTAACAAACGAAGAAGAAGCCACTAATTATCCAACTGAATTTTTGAACTCCTTGGATGTGCCTGGTTTACCACCGCACAATTTACAACTGAAGGTTGGTTCAGTAGTTATCATGCTTAGAAATTTAAACCAACCAAAACTGTGCAATGGAACGCGTTTGGTGATAAGAAAAGTGATGAGCAATGTGATTCACGCGTCGATACTCAAAGGAAATTTCCCGATTCGTCTTGCGTTCGCCATGACGAGCAACAAATCACAGGGTCAATCCTTGACTATTTGTGGCCTCAATCTAGAAAATGCGTGTTTTTCTCATGGTCAATTGTACGTGGCATGCTCACGTGTTGGCAAACCATCCGCATTATTTGTTCTTGCACCTGACCAAAAAACGAAGAATGTCGTTTACCACAAAGTGCTTGAATGAAAATCAGATTAACAAATTAATCAGAGTGTATCCCAAACTTTCAACAATTTTTTACCTAGAAATAATGGATAGGGCAATGCAAAGTTTGCCGGGCCAGCTAGTATTGAATATTTGAGAAATTAAAAAAAATAAAAAATCATTCACAATTAGCTGTACTGGCATCTGACTTGAACTTAAATGTTTTTATTCGATAAAAACATAACGGGATGATTTATCGAATTTTAAAAGCAAACTCGACATCCGCGCTGTATATACGGTCATTTAAAAAAAATCAAGTCTCTAGCTCTTATATCTTCGGAAATCGACGCGTTCAAACATACGGACAGACAGACAGACGGACAGGGCCAAATCAACTCGGCTCGTCGCCCTGATCAAGAATATATACACTTTGTGGGGTCTGCCACGCCTTCTTCTGCCTGTTACATACATTTCAACAAAACCATTATACCCTGATTACCCATTGAAAAATTTTTAATTTAGACTTATATGTATTTTATATAATTTAGATTTTTGTTGTAATTTACCCCCCACCCCTATATCCACCCCCTCACCATCACCTTTGTAAAAAGCGTATTTCAAATACTAGAGACGTGTGCTTGGGAACGTACATACATTTTCACCATATGATTACGCCCTGAAAGATTCATTAAAATTGTACGTCTAGAAATTAAGTTATTCAACAAATAAATTCTTATAATGTTGCCCACACTACAGCGCAGCCCCAGCACAGTCGCTGCTTACTGCGCAGTTAGCAAAGCGCGTTCTAATACGTGCGTGTGTATGTATGTGTGTCGAAAAGAAGTGCAGACTGATTAGAATATCAGATTAGAGGGTTCAGGGTATCTCCTAGTCGAGCAGTATCGACTAGAGTCTTCTTACTTGTTTATTTTTTAGTTGTAATCAGGGTCGAAGGTGACGTATCGAATGAGACATTTTTTCAACCATACGTTTTTATACCCTGAACCCATTGAAAATGGGAAATCAGGGTATAAGGGTTTTGTTAAAAGTATGTAACAGGCATAAGGAGGCGTGGCAGACCCAATAAAGTATATATATTCTTGATCAGGGCGACGAGCTAAGTCGATTTGGCCCTGTCCGTCTGTCTGTCCGACCGTCCATCCGTCCGTCCGTATGTATGAACGCGTCGATCTCAGAAGATATAAGAGCTAGAGAATTTTTTTTTCCTAGGTCCATGTATATCACGCGCATATCAAGTTTTTCTTTATATATCGATAACTACTCCCGATATTTTATTATCGATCAAAAACCTTATCGAAAGCTAGTTATTTAATTATATCTTCTACACCTTTAGAGCTAGAGCTTGAAAATGTTATATGTAGACTTATATGTATTTTATATAATTTCGGTTTTTGTTGTAATTTACCCCCGACCCTTATATCCACCGCCTTACTCACACCTTTGTAAAAGGCGTATTTCAAGTACTAGAGACTTGTGCTTTGGAATGTACATACATTTGAACATTAGGATTATGTTCTGAAAGTTTCATTAAGATTGTACGTCTATAAATTAAATTATTCAACAAATAAATTCTTATAATGTTGCCCACACTGCAGCGCAGCCCAAGCGCAGTCGCTGCTTACTGCGCAGTTAGCAGAGCGCGTTCTAATACGTGCGTGTGTATGTATGTGTGCCAAAAAGAAGTGCATAGTGATTAGAATATCAGATTGGAGGGTTCAGGATATCTCCTAGTCGAGCAGTCTCGACTAGAGTCTTCTTACTTGTTATACCCTGAACCCATTTTCGATGGGAAATCAGGGTATAATGGTTATGTTAAATGTATGTAACAGACAGAAGGAGGCGTGGCAGACCCCATAAAGTATATATATTCTTGATCAGGGCGACGAGCTGAGTCGATTTAGCTCTGTCCGTCCGTCCGTATGAGCAAAGGAATCTCAGATGATAGAAGAGCTGCAGAGCTGAAATTTGGCATGCATACTCGTGTATACCATAGGCAGTACAAGTTTATCTTATTTTTCGATAACTCATCCGATAAATTTTTTATCGAGAATAATCGAAAAATTGACATTGTTTTTTCAGCCTAATTTGAACACTCTTAGACCTGGAGACTTCAAATTTGCGTTGTATATAAATTTAACGGATACAAAGATTTTGTAATTTACAGATTTTGAATACCATGCCCCCTTAGCCCCCAATTTGTAAAAAAGAATTTCAAGTAATAGAGGCTTGGGTTTTGGAATGTACACACATTTTAGCTATATAATCATGCTCTGGGAGCTTCATTAAGATAGCCTATCTACAAAAGACAACTAATAAATTCTTGTAATATTGCTCACATTGCAGCGCAGCCCAAGCGCAGCCGCTGCTTACTGTGCAGTTAGCAGAGCGCGTGCTAATAAGTGCATGTGTATGTTTGTGTGCAGAAAAGAAGTCCAGAATGATTAGAATATCAACTTGGAGTGAAGAAAGTAAGAAAGCTCTAGTCGAGACTGCTCGACTACGAGATCCCCTGAACCCTACGAGCAACTGATATTTCACTCGCACAACCTCACAGGCACGCACGCATAAACACGCATTGGCTGCAGTATGGGCTTACTATGGGAACTTAATTGTTTAATAACGTTTTTTGTCGATAGACGATCTTCATGAAGCTTTCAGATAATGATTATAACATTAATATGCATGCATTTGCCAAAGCACAAGTCTCTAGTATTTGAAATACGCCTCTTACGAAGGTGTGGGTGAGGGGATAAATATAGGAGTGGGGGGTAAATTTTAACAAAAACCGAAATTGTATAAAATGCATCTTAATATATATGTATTTAAAATTTGGACACTGTAGCTTAAAAGATGTAGGACATATAATTTGATAACTGATTTTCGATAAGGTTTTTTATCGATAAAAATTAACGGGATAAGCTATAGATTTTCGGTGATAAACTTGATATGCGCGCTATATATACGGACATTTTAAAAAATTTGAAGTCTCTAGCTCTTATATCTTCTGAAATCGACGCGTTCAAACATATGGACAGACAGACAGACGGACAGGGCAAAATCGACGAAGAATATATATACATTGTGGGGTCTGCCACGCCTCCTTCTGCTTGTTACTTAAATTTCAATAAAACCATTATACCCTGATTTCCAATTTTCAATGGGTTCAGGGTATAATAACCGAGGGGTTCGCAGGCTACAAAAAGTGGTTTTCCAGGAAAATACCCATATCGTAAAACTTACGCGTATGTCGGCCTCAGGTGCTTTGTCCAATTTCTTCCTAAACTCTGGATCAGTTTCTAAGGCTTCCACAACTTCGCGTAAATACCGTTCATATTCCAATGCAGCTTCTACGTCAGCTGTGTCTGTTGTGCTGCTTGGCTCCTTGCTATTTTCCTCCCTTTTATTTTTCGTTACAGGCAATGCCATAACTAAATAAGCTAGATAGAGCGTCAGCATTACAGTCACTAGGATACATTTCATGGTAAAACGTATTCGGATTAATATTCAATAAGGGAAATAGTTGTGTAAATAATTTAACAAATATAGATTTATTCTGACGTGTCTCTCTTTCTCAAGTGCTATGTATGTATTACTTTGGTCAGAGTGTTACCAGCTGTTTTGATTAAGAGTTGCAGCTCCAGTTGTCGATTAAAGTCTTATAATTCAAAGCATTCCAAACAATCGCCAATATATAAAGACATATGTATATGAATTAAAAAAAGTCAATTATTATAAGAATTTAGAATGGAATATTGGTATCATTTAGATAGCTTTATTGCTGTTCATTAAAAATTGTGTTTTCAGACATGAACGTTTTCCAAATTTAATTTTTCATATATTTACATACATATGTTTATTCGATATTGATATGCGTTTCTTTATTTATTTATTTATTTTTATTTTTATTTTTTTTTTTTTTTTTTTTTTTTTACAGTCTCATATAGCTTACATTTTCATTGAAATTTAATGAAACTACAATGAGTGCGCGCATATGCAAATATAAGAGAATTTCTTATTTTTATATGGTAAATCGTTCTCGGCTTGGTGTGATAAACTAGTTCAGTTGTATGAAGAACTGTATTAAGTTCACTTATGATGAAATCATTCCTGTCAAGAATGGTTTCATCAGCTGATCGGAATTAAGAGCAAAATTTAGATTTGAATTAAAGTATGGCACAAAGTGGAAATAAAATGGAAAAAAGGAAACCAATAAAAAAAAAGATATTGACCAATGTAGAGTATTCTCAAATCTGTCAGTTCATAAATGAATTCTGCGGTGGTGGGCTGCCGATGGACTGCGAGCTAAAAATGGTAACTCGCATTTTCAATGACATTGAACCATTAGCCCTGGTTTGCATACTACAATCGCAAATATTTAATAAGGCGCGCGGTCAGCACTGGCGGCACGAGAATCGCGCCAAATTACTGTTGAAAATGTAAGTTTAAATAATAGCGTTGCATTAATGACCTTTCGCATGAATGATTTGAAACATTTGTTCAGATACGATGATGAATGCCACTTGTATAATGATAGTGATCTTCTTATACGCATGGCCTGTGCGGAATCTATAAATCCCATAGCGATGTGTCGGCTTCTATTGCAAGAGAAATATGATATGAGGCAAAGACCTGCTGTTTCCCAATTGATAAAGCATCCCCACTTGATTAATGACGCACGTCTAGCCGCTAACGTACAGCAATGTTTATACAGTGACAATCAGGAGGGACCTATTACAGATCTTCGACGACGAATGATTGGTGAAGAGTACGAGTTAAAACTTAAACAATTGGCTAATGCAGCTGGCATTTTTTTCTATGACGAGCGAGATTTGCGTCGTATGGGATATGACAAGACACCCGATATCAAGGTTATATTGCCGTTCCTGTACAAAGGTCTTATAGTTAACTGGATAGAGAGTAAGGCTAACTTCGGAGATACCAAAAGCCATAAATGGAACATACAGCAGCAATTATTGAGCTATTGCAATCGGTAACTTTTGTCTTTGCAATTAACTATCGGATTCTATTCCATATATTATATATGTAGATTTGGACCCGGTATTATCATCTATTGGTTTGGATATCATGAAGAAACGCCGCTATTACCGGATAATAACATTGGTATAACCATTTTAGCAGATTTTCCCGATCGCAAACATTTAGATTTAATGCAGATGCCGCGATTACCGGCTGTGTGAGCCTATTTATGTTTTATTTAATTTCCTGACATGGTCATTTAAAACCTTTTTCGTTTTGTTTGATACCAATATTTTTTGTTTTAAAATCGTACACAAATTTTATTTTTCATATGGTTTTTAAAGCTATAAAATATACTAAATGCCCTAAGTCCCCGAATGTATTTCATAATTATTATGACAGAAATTGAAACTTTTATTATGCAAGCCAATCAAATGTATGCGTTTTAAAGATAAGTTTGCGTATATTTTTGCATTTTATTTTAAATTATTGATTGTTTCAAATATTATTGTTGCAAATATTCGTACTCGTAGGCAACTCGTCGTTTATTTGATAATGTTCAATAATAATGTTAGAGGTCTTTCAGCTCCTCAGGCATATCATTTTTCGGATGTTTATTCTCAAAATGTTGCTTGTAAGTCTTAGGATCTGGCATTTGCGACTGCGTGGAAAAATATAAGTTTTGGGTTTATGAGTATTTAAGATAATTAGATAACGTTGTTTCTTACTTTGCAGAGGACACAAACATGTACGAGTGCTTTTTGTGCTGCTTTCTTTTGATCGTTGGCACTGTGGCCCTGCTGCTTTTTCATCTTCGCTTGCTTTTCAGCGGCCTTTGCTTGCGATTGTATTTTTTGATGACCGCGTGCCATGGCTGCGAAACTGTTGACTTTAAAGCAACAAAACAATAGAGTTATAATTATTAATCAGTAAACAGTAGCAAAAGTTAAAAAAAAAATATATATATATATTTTAATATAATAAATAAATAAATTTCGTACACACCAGTTTATAATGTGTACACTAGAAATCACAATGAATTTACATTAGACATTTTGGTTTCTGTCAGTAGTCTTTGTGGTGAATATGAATAGTAATAAGAGCACTTGATAGACGTCATAAGAAAGATATGGCGGAAAGTCTATATTTGTTGCCATCTCCAACCATATTTTTCGTATCACGTTTTCCATCATTTAATGCCCGTTTGATGTTTCTCACCTAATAGTAAATTTAGTAGAAGAATGTACAGGATTTGTTATTGGATGCAATTATTGATAAACTTTTTTTTTTTAAATTCATAGACTAAGTGTTTTCTGATACCCGAATTTATTGACACTTGCTAAGTGTAAATTTCCCTGTGTAGTTTGTTTTTTATTTTATAGTATTACGAACGGTGACCTATGCATTTGTTGTATAAAGTGTTGTGAAACGATTTATTGGTCGACAACAAGTTTTAATAGTCGTATTCCATAAGTTATCGATATGTCAGAACTGAAAAATATAATTTAAATCAATAGTTCAAAAAAGGTATTTTGAATTACAAATATTTCATAATTATACAAGCACTAAAGTGGGCCCACGGTTGGCAAGCCAAAAAAATGAGGTGTTTTCGCAGACAGAAATTTTGCATACAATTAATGTTCAAGCGAAACTTATTTTCCTATATATATATGTATATACATATAGTCGACTCTCGTTATTTCGAAATTCAAGGGACTCTTAAAATATTTCGAATTGTCGAGTGTTTAACCATATGAGTACGAATTACCGCGTCTTAGCAATGATTTTTAGTTCGAATTACTGAGTGATAACTTTGAATTAATGAGAGGTTTGAAATAACAAGAGTCGATTGTATATACTAGGTGACCCGGCAAACGTAGCTTTGCCCTATCCATTATTTCTAGGGAATATTTTTTACTTAAATACAAAATAACTAATTTACTATAAGTGTGTGGGGCTGCCGTTATAGTCGAAACCGTTGTAAACAACCGAAGTATGTTTTATGTTATATTTAAAATTCTCGTGTCGCGGTGTTTGTTGCCAAACTCGTCCGAAACGGTTTGACCGGTTTGTGTGCAGATCGGGTAGGTCTGAACAAATCATTGTGCTCATTGAACATAGCGTCCAGCTCGCTGACGATGCGCGCTGCAATAGGTGAATTGAGGTGATTATAGTTGCACTCGATTGGCGAGTGCGCGTTCGGTGTATTTTAGAACCCCTAATAGGCTACTTTCTACTAAATTAAGAGTGATAACTTTTTTTGTGTACCAAAAGCAAACAGAATAAAATGTATATCAAGTTAAAATGAAAACAATGATATTGATCTTACCATTCAATGGATTAATCATTTTGATATTAAAGTGATATCTATCGTCTCCTTGCCAAAACATCAGCGGGTCATATGAACGGTGCGTTTCATATGTATATTCTTTGTAGTTGCCCAGTATTGCGTCGTGTAAGCACAACATCACGTGCTTCCAAGTTTTCTCCAACAATCAGGATTGCCACTTCATCGATTGTTGGAGCATTAAATGTGCGTTCATGTGTTCCTGCTGGTCTTTTATTTGCTCTGATTACAACTCTATAGTCATCCCTTGGCATGCGCTCTAAAGCAGTCTTGAACAGCCAGACCAACGCATGATGTTCGTGAAGCATTTGCTGCAAAACTTGGAGAATTGCTCTTTTCGTAGCTGTGTTGATCCTTTAACGCCGGTCAAGTTATTCTTCCATACTGCTCATGAAGTATATTTGCAAGAATTTGTGCTGTGCATCTTCAATAGGTTGCAATGATCCAATGCGATGGAAAATCTGGCCTTGAATCTGTACATTCAAAGCCATAGTTATATTTAGATTTACAAACTACATTCAAAATTTTTTTACAATCATAGAAAATAAAATTGTTAACGTAAATGACCTTAAATGTCGGATTATATCCGTGTTCTTCAATAATTCCCGCCTCAAATGAAGTCATTTCGCTAGACAATGTCGTGATTCTAGTAGGGAACGCAATGGCTCTGGTGGCGGGACTAACAATGGCAATGTTTTTTTTTTACCACTAAGGCAGCACAAACCGGGCGCTTCACCAGCAAACTTCAATGCGCCACAATGCTGGCAAACAACGTCCATTGGACCAATGCAAACTAAACGATGCAAGGTGTAGTCAATGGTGCAATCATATCGAAACACTGCTCGAGCCAAATCAATACTTGAACCTTTACTTAGATTATTCCTCTGTTCATTTGTACGATAAGCTCGACGATTTCTCGTTTCTAATCTAGCCGTTTCACGGGCTGCCTCTCTTTGCTCTTATGTTCGAGAAGCACGAATTAAGGCCCTTCTTTGCTCCATACTAACGCGGCGGTTGTCTTGGGCGACTTCTCGTTCTTCGTCAGATAATTGACTCGCGGCATTCTGTTGCCAGATTGCATTACGGGTCCGCTGGGAAAGATTAGATCTTCTAGGACGCGGCATTTTTATTAATAGTAAATCTGAATATACACTCGCATGAATAATTGTTTTAAATGAGAGCATGACCGAAAACTGTCACTTGTATCAATTGCGTCCACATTGTTAGACGGATGCCGTGCGGCTCACTCAGCGTTAAAATGGCCGTTAAATCTTCAAACTACTGAACAGCCGACATGTAACATTTCGAAACACTCCGCAATGCATTGCAATGGCCAAAGTTTTAATAGCATCAAAAATTATCATATGGAACGAATGCACAATGGCGCACAAATGCAGATTCGAAGCACTAGACCGAACATTAAAAGATCTGCGCCATGACTCGAGATGTTTTGGTGGTTCAATGATTTTATTATCTGGCGATTTCCAACAAACACTATCAGCAATTCCAAGATCTACTGCTGCCGACGAAATAAACGCTTGCTTCAAATCAAATCAAATAAACAAACTTCAACTGTCTGTAAATATAAGAGTTGCATTCTTGAACGATCTATCTGCTGATGAGTTGTCAAAGCAATTGCAGAATATCGGTAATGGCCGTGTTCCTGTTGACGAATCGAGCAGTTTAATTTAATTTCCTCCAAATTTTTGCAATTTCGTCTCATTAAAAGATGAGCTTATCAAAAAGTATTTCCGGATATCATTGCTAACCACAAAAATACTAGTGTGAGTTTGGCGGCTAAAAATAAAGATGTAGATGACCTCAATATAGAGCAAAACAAAAATATAAGTAAATATAAAATACAAGTATATTTTAAATATTTTCATTTTTTATACCCTAAACCCATTGAAAATGGGAAATCAGGGTATAATGGTTTTGTTAAAAGTATGTAACAGGCAGAAGGAGGCGTGGCAGATCCCACAAAGTATATATATTCTTGATCAGGGCGACGAGCTAAGTCGATTTGGCCCTGTCCGTCTGTCTGTCAGTCCGTCCGTCCGTCTGTCCGTCCGTCCGTATGTATGAACGCGTCGATCTCAGAAGAGATAGGAGCTAGGGAAATTTTTTTTCCTAGGTCCGTGTATATCACGCGGTCCGTGTATATTCTCTATATATCGATAAATACTCCCAAAATTTTATTATCGATTAAAAACCTTATCGAAAGCTAGCTATTTAATTATATCTCCTACACCTTCAGAGCTAGAGCTTCAAAATTTTAAATGTAGACTTATTATACCCTGAACCCATTTTCAATGGGAAATCAGGGTATAATGGTTTTGTTGAAATGTATGTAACAGGCAGAAGGAGGCGTGGCAGACCCCACATAGTATATATATTCTTGATCAGGGTGACGAGCTGAGTCGATTTGGCCCTGTTCGTCTGTCTGCCCGTCCGTCTGTCCGTATGCATGAACGCGTCGATTTCAGAAGATATAAGAGCTTCAATTTTTTTTTAATGTCCGTATTTACAGTGCGGTTATCGAGTTTATCATTAAAAATCGACAACTCATCCAGATCTTTTTTTATCGATAAAAAACCTTATCGAAAACCAGTTATAAAATTATATCTTCTACACCTTTATTGCTAGAGTCTCCGAATTTTTAATATATGCTTATATGCAATTTCGGTTTTTGTTAAAATTTACCCCCACCTCTATATCCACCCCCTCACCCTCACATTTGTAAATGGCGTATTTCAAATACTAGAGACTTGTGCTTTGGTAAACACATGCATATTCATGTTATAATCATAATCTAAAAGTTTCATGAAGATCGTCTCGATAGACGATACAACAAACGTTATCAAATAATTAAGTTCTCATAGTAAGCGCACACTGCAGCCCATGCGTGTTTATGCGTGGGTGCGTGTGTGTGTATGTAAATGTTTGTGTATGTGTGTGTGGGTGTGTGTATGAGTGTGTGTGTGTATGTATGCCTGTGTGTGCGTGCGTGCGTGTGTGTGCATGTTTTTTTTTTTATATTCATTTATTGGCAAAATTAAACAAATTGCAAGTTGCGTGGTGGCTAGGATAGCGCGCGGTGCTTGCGGGACGGCCGTAAAGCATTGCTTCGCAAGCACTATGCGCTACCTTAGCCTGGGACAGCTCGTCTTCTCAGTCGCTCGGCTCTGCGGAGCTCCATCATCACCGTGGCCGCGAAGGTGCTTGTTAGTTCCCAAGCTTCCTCCGATTCCAGCATGGCGTTGACTAAGTTGTCCGCTCTGATGGAGCGGCCCACTGCCTCTTCCAGACGACGCCTCTCCTCCAGGAACCGTCCACATTCGAAAAGAATGTGCTTGTCGTCTTCCACATGCCCTCGCTCGCACCAGGGGCACTCGTCAGATTCCTCGTGGCCAAAGCGCTTCAAATAGCTCCGAAAGCATCCATGACCCGAGAGGATCTGCGTAAGGTAGTAGTTAACCTCGCCATGTTTGCGGTTAACCCATGGTTCAAGCTCCGGGATGAGCT